AGCGCCAGGCGGGCGGCGGGGCGCGGGGAAGCGGGGGCACAGAAGGGCCCGCCCGCCTGCCTGCCTGAGGGGAAGAGTGCCCGAGGGTCATCGGAGATGCGCCGTTCTTCAGACTTTCCCTGTTTTCTTTCCCAAATTCCAGCATTAAAATGAGCTGGTTGAGCCATGCTCCAAAATAGTATGAAGGAAGGTGCTTCCCGGTGTTTCAGAGACTTTAAGGGGAAATGTATCTTCTCTTAGCTAGTTTTCTTAAAATGGTAACACTTAGGCAGGTGCAGAGCTGGTGCCACATGAGGAAAAGCTGAGAGAAACCGGGTTTGGTCAGCCTTGGGAGAAGGTGGCTCCAGGGAGACCTTATCACCATGTTCCAGTGTTTAAAGGGTGGCTACAAACATGGAGACACCCTTTTTACAAGGAGTCACATGGAAAAGATGAGGGGTAATGGGTACAGGTTACTCCTGGGGAGATTCCGAGTGGACACATGAGGAAAGTTTTTCACAATGAGAGCAATGAGCCATTGGACTGATCTCCCCAGGGAAGTGGTGGACTCCCCAACACTGGGCACTTTTAAGATGCAGCTGGACAGGGTGCTGAGGCATCTAGTCTATGTCATGCTTTGCCTAGAAGGGTTGGACCAGATAATCCTTGAGGTCCCATCCAGCCTGGTTCTCTATGATTCTGATAGATGTTTCTCCAAATTTATGAACTCAGTAAGCTTTGTCAACAGTATGTGTCAAAGTATAAGTAATCTCAAAGCTAATAATGTAACGCATATGGAGTTACCTCTGTGAAGCTTCAATTATTGCATTTAATTTTAAAAAACAAATGGAAAACATCAGCTTGAAACAACCCACCAGGTGGTAAGGGGCAGAACGTTAAAATGCTTGGGATCAATTCAGGAGAGGCAAAAAACCCTACACCAAAATGAGTGCTGTGCATGCATAATCACCTGTTTTACCTTGCCCTGCGTTTGTTAGGTTGTACTTGCTGTAGAGTCCTAAACAGTGTGTCTGCATTTCACATGTATGCTTTTTTAATATGTGGAGGCATTATTGCATGTGAATACCTGCAAAGTCGAGGAGGAAAGGGGAACTGAGTTTCCTGAAGTTTAAAGACTAAACCAGGTTTATGAAGAAATTGTATAAAACTACAGCTTCTGTTTTGACTGAAACCAGGAGAAGAGCTGGGAAAAGGGACAGGGGAACAAAATGTTTACAGGGAAAGATATAGACTGTTTGAATTACCAAAAAGAGTAAAACTAACTTACGTGAATTACTGTCTGTAATGCCTTTTTTTTTTTTTTTAAGCTATGCATTCAGCTGCCCGTTATCAAAAGGTTTGATGCTTTAAATGAGAGACTGAAAAGAAACTTCATGTTTTATCAGTTCATGGAATCGCTCTTCTAGTGCTGGAGGGCTTCTGTTTCGGTGGTGGTACACTCTGCAAACATCAAAATCTTAAATCTTGGTAGCTTGTCACATACTGATGGATCTGCCTAAAAATAAGCCAACTTAATGTTGTTTGTTCATCTAATTTTCTCTCTCTCTTCCTTTTTTTTGGTAGGCCTTTTCTGTTGTTTCAAAGCTGCTGTCTCAACGTAAACTTGACCTGCTGGATGAACTTGTATCAGCAGAGGTAAATGCTTTCCATCTCTTACTCTAGCAATTGATTTGTCCGTTATCAAGTAACATACATTCAGCCTGTCATTATCTACCAATACTACCAGTTCAGTTTCATTTGGGAAAAACTGCATAATGCAGAACCGGGCAATTGTTTGTCCTGCAGGGTTTTTTTTTTATGTTTAATTTCAAGGCATGAAATTTAGTTTAAAGTTACTGTATTAAAAAAAGAAGAAAAAATATATTCTTGCCATGGAGGATAAGCACCAATTGCCAAAAAGGTTGCGGGTGTACCAGAAAGGGTTGTAAGGCAGTGGATTCTGGATGGCAGATGGAACTGCATACCTCTGTTGGTGTAGGGAGAGAGCTGACACTTTTGGTCTCTGAACCAGAATTCAGATGAAGAATGGAACTCGTTTGTGCTCATCCCTGCTGCAGTAATCCGTTCCTACTCCCAAGCAGATCATATAGCCCATTACTGATTTCAGCTGGAAGGCCTCAGTGTTGTGTCATGGTCTCAGGGGTGTGGCTGACCTGGCTAGTTAAACATCAGTGCTCTGTGTTCTGTGGTTTTATGAGTTTTAATGGCTCAAGTTGTCTTGGCCTTCCCAGGGCATGGAGGTAGCAGATGCATCAGAGTTAAATGGAGGACATAAATCAGGTCTATGCCTGACTTACTGCTTGATGTCAGCTTGGCCTGCCCTATTGCCACTCATGCCTTTGCAGCAAAAAATTTGGTACTGTTAGTGCATCCCCACTGGATAATCGTACCTCTTCTCTCTGAGCAGAGGTAGCAATAAAATGTGAGTTTATTATAGTTGTTTGGAAAAGCATCTCCTCTTCCTCTGCTCATCTTAAATTCTTCTGGTGATCATGTTAACACTGATCCAGAGACCACATGTACCCAGAGCATGTAGTGGATGAGGCTGTGATACCACACTATGTGATTGTTGCTTTGGCCAGTGAATTTTATGCCTGCACAATGTACTAGAAACCAGTGTCTTTGAGTGAAGATTGCCTCTTGCTTCCATGGAACCTCTGGATTTGTTTGTTATTCAGAAATGGCCATTCTAGTTAGGCTAAAAACTGAGTATGAGTTAAAAATAAATGCACAGCCTCATCCTTCCTTGTGACATGTCCTTCTCATGGTGTTTGAGGTAATGCTCAGTTTGTGCACCACAGTCTTTTTCTAGTTAACGCAGTTGTGTAGGTCTTAGGATGCCCAAATACTTTGGCTGGGAATGTGCTATGGAACTTAAGTCTCAGAGCAATGATTTTTCAGTGTTTTCGGATTTGCAAGTGTTTAAACTTTTTCTAATTGGACCGTGGATCACAAAATGGCAAAGATAAATTTAGTGGTAACGGAACTGATCTGTGAAAGGTAACTAAGGAATAAATGAATCAAAAGCTAAAGAATAAACACAGAGAGAGGAATTAGTAGTGAGAAGGCAGAGTGTAACATCATAGAATTGGTGTTTTCTGGGCCTACATGCCTTGCCTTGCAACTTCTTTTTTGACAACACCTTTTTTTTAAATACTTGGTTTTCATTGGTGTGAGCAGTAAATGGATCTTCTTTAATATCACCAAACTAGGGTTTAGACATGCCCAAACTTCCCAGTGTTTTTTCACTTTTGCTGTTGTTTATGTTACATGATATAGCTCATTTTACTAACTGCAGTAGAAAGGATTGTTACTTCAGTTTCCTAATGAAAAATTAAGTGACAGTTTTTCTGAATTTAGGTACTTCAGGTGCTGAAGGAAAAGATTTCTTTGCTCCCTGACAGCCACAGGGATGCTTTAGCAGCTGACATTGATTCAATCATGTACACAACAGAAGGAGATGTTCGCATTTACTATGATGATGATGGTATGTTCAGAATTCTAAACCATTTCAGCAATGGGCAGTCTTATTTCCTGGTTTTGCTACTAAGCAGGCATTCTCCTTACAGATGTGGTTTTGAGTACTGTTTCTCATTCCTTGTCTTTCTGTTTATAGTTCATCTATATGCCCCATCCCTGGCAGTGTTCAAGGACAGGCTGGATGGAGCTTTGAGCAACCTGGTCAAGTGGAAGGTGTCCTGTCCATGACAGGGGGTTGGAACTAGGTGATCTTTAAGGTCCCTTCCAACTCTAACCATTCTGTGATTTTATATACAATTCCTTGATTTCCTTTTAAATCAGAAACTGAGAGATTATTGCTAGTAAGTTATTTACTGTTTTGACTTCTGTTTAGGTTTTCCTTGTTCTTCCTCTTTTGTAATTTCAGATTTTTACATTGTTAGTCCTTTGCAGTCTCAACCTGCTCAAAACCAATTATTCTACTGTGTGCAGAAGGCTGTTTGCTTCAGTGATGAAAATATATCTGCCAAGAAGAGTAGTGAAGGCTGAATAGTGAAATAAATTTTGCTGTCTTCACTTCTGTTTTCATGGAATAGACTTTATTCCAGGACTTCTTTTTATTTTATTTTATTTTTTTAAGCTAGTGATGAGCTCAAACAAGTCTTTCTTTGGGTTGAACTCCAGCATTAAGTGCTCAGGTCACTATCAGACAAAGAGACAGTTTGTAGACTAACCATGAGTCTTCCAGTGAGCATTTAAAATTGTTAGATCAGTGAAATTTTTTCCTATTTTGGGACATGGTGATTTTTGCATTTTTTTGTTTCTCCTGGATTGCTCCTGAGTTTCAACTACTCTCATACTTCTGTAGTATCAGTAGTTGGCTTTGGACTTCGGTAACTAGCTTTTTTCACACAGTTTGATTACATACAGTATCACGCGACACTCATGATAAAATACATACCTTTCTACAGAGTGCATTTTTATTGTTGCTAAACAGCATGAATATGGTTTTAATTAGCTTTATCATTTATTATTCTATCATCCATTCTTTATGACTGAAGTCAGCTGCCCTTTCAGGGTCTCACTAGAATATATGCTAGGTAACAAATAGGAGTATGTGACCAATGAGAAATGTAAGATCTTACCTTATGCTTTGATTTATTTCCAACAGGAAGAAAGTTTGTTAGCATCTTGATGTGTTTCTGGTATCTGAATGGTGCTAACCTACCTGACGAAGTACCAGGTGAAACCAAAGTTTTCCAGATTGTGTTTGGAGATGGAAGTTCAAAAGAAAAGAAACATCTTTTAACAGCAAACTATGAGTAAGTTTACTTGTCCCTTTTTTTTCCTTCATGTACATGGGCTAGCTGCATGGAAAGCAGTTCAGGAACTGAAAGCATTCGCACTGTGCCAGTGCAGAACTTGATATGTTTTTATTTACCTTGATTCTAATCTAAGTTCTCATCCATCTTCCCACTGCACCAATTTTTTTAAATACCCCTTAAAGTCATTATGTTATTATCTTGCTTCTGAGTTGACATTAGTGGGAACTCTATCAGGAAGAGCAGTAGTTGGAGCATAGAATGAGGTTTCTGATCCTTTCCTATACTACCCCTACGGCTTTCAGGAAATAGGACAATATAAGTTCTTGTTTCCCGTCTCTTGTAGCACAGCTAAGAGCAATGCAGTTAAGCCAAGCAGTTAGGTGTGGTGCTATTGACTTGTCACTTTTCGCACAAAAGTCAGAACTGCAGTTAGTTGAAAAAGTAGCTCATGAAAGAGGAATTTATTTAGCCAAATACTTTCTGCAGAAAGGCAGCACAAGGCAAACATCACCTGGCATTCAGATAGTTCATACACTCTATTGCAAGTACTCAACACATTATGTAGATGGGTTTTCATAGGACTGCTTGTAAATAACGTCTGTTAGTGTACTGATGTTGGAGCAGTGCAGAAATACCCGCACAGCTGGCAAAAGGTACTCAAAATAACATTCTCAGAAGTTGGATTTTTGTCTGCGAAATGCAACATAATCAATGACTTCTACACCTGTGTTTGAAATGGAGAGGCTACGGGTCTAGTTGGCGAGCTCTGAAACAAAGGAGACACTGAGGACACCAGTGCTTTTTGCCTGGGTGGATTTTTGTGGATCCATACCTTTGCTGAATTCAGCATCTTCCTTACAGCTGGAGGCTTCTGAGGTTCCATTATGCTCAAGAGTCTACACTTAAAGCCCTAAGTATCTTCCTAATCCCTAGCAGAATTACCTTTGCAAGTATGTGTTCCTTCTGGTATTTACAGTGCCAGTGTAAACTCAAATTGGCAAAGATCCTGCAGGCCTTGGAAGCCTACTGTTAAGTATTTGAGTGTCTGGAGAAGACAGTTTCCAGTAGTGGATTTGCATGTAATTGCAAAGCAATGAGGTTATTACTGACACTGCTTGTGTCAACAATGTGCAGGTTACTTGGGAGCATGAATATTCATTTGAAGTTCAGACCTATCTTTAGATGACCAGCAGTAAAAACTGTGACATGCTCAGGGAGGGAGGCATTAGACTACAAAAGGAAGAAGATGACTCTGCAAACAGGGGTGGACACTAATTTTCCTAGTAACAACTGTGGAATTTTCTTGCACAGAGATTCAGTGCTACTGTTAGCTTGATCTTCAGTGTATTTCTGAAGAAAATTTACTTTTAAAGCATGGTTCAGTAAAAATGAAAATTTTCAGGTAGAATGCATAGCATGTGATTACCCTTTACGATGCAGTTACCATCCCATTAAATGAAACCCATTATTTAGAGATGAAGATCTGACACAAAACCATATTCACAGTTACCGCTATGAAAACTGAGTGCTTTCTTGATATCAGGGTCTTTACTGTTGCTGGTTGATCCTGTCTGTGGGATCTGCACCAAAACACTCTGAAGTCAGTGCACGTAGTTTCTTACTATAGAATTAATTTTGATACTCCATTTTGGGGCATAAGCATCAGAGTCTAAGGAGCTCTTACAGGAATAACTTTGAAGTAAAATGTTTCTTCACAATTTCTGTTGGTATTAGTAGTTCTTTAAGGATCAAGTAAATTTTTAGCAACTTTTCACTTACTGTCTTTCCTCTTGCAGGTTCCAAAGAGAATTTACAGAAGGAGCAAAACCAGACTGGACAATTACACGGATTGAACATCCAAGGCTATTAGAATAAATGCCTTCTACAGTCTTTTTGTGTACCATTGTAGATGTTCAGTCTCTTTGGGTTTCCCCCCACCACCACTTTCCCCTCCAAAAGAGGGATGAATTTTGTATGTTTGATTTCCCAAAATTGTTCCTGAAACTTACTCTGCTGCAGCATTACAATAAAGCCTTTTCCCTGGAGCAGGGTAGTACAGGTTTAATTGGTACTGGTGCTCATCCAAGACATTTACACAGCAGTTTCACACAGGCTAGTATTATGGGTATGTTGACTTTGCACATTCTGAGAAGAAATGATTCCACTTGAAGATAAACAACACTTTCCTGGCTTGTGGCCCCTCTGATTTATTTTCATATGTTTCTTTTTTCCCTAGGGTCTGTACAATATGTAACTGAATAATATGCCAGATGAAATAGAGGTAGATGGACTTCTTAGATTGTCTAGCCTCAGCAGTTCATTTTGAGGTAATCTTGCTTTTGAATACATTTGAGATTAAAAAAGTTAGTGCCATTATCAGTATTTGGTATAGGACTGGAGTAAGAAAAAACTTCCAGCATTTCACTGGGAAAATGGATCAGAGCAATACATATACTTTGAAAAATAAAACCAACATTCCTTTCAATTCAATAACATACAGGCAAGTTTAGAGGTTTATGAAAGAAAAAGCAGTCAAAACCATGAATTTAAAAGAGCTACCTGACAGTGAAGCTAAGTGAAGTCCCCTGAAATGCTTGTTGAAGAAAGGAGCAAATCATTAAATGTTGCAACTGAACTATTTCCTGATTCTCAGATTATCTCTGTTACTGGAACATTACTGGTGAGAGTAACTTTAGTAGTTTTTATATGCAGGTCAACAGGAGATCATCATAACAGTTTCTTTTCTACCCTATCTGAACTTTAAAGATAAAGCTAACTTTCTACCCAGGCATGTTACAGAGATTTGTGCAATGTTTTGAAAGTGTGAAGTATAATTGCTGTGATTCACAGTAGCGATTGAAAGGTATAAATTAAATTTACATGGTTCAGCTCTTTTGATAAAGTGATTTGATGAGAAGAATGTTTTAACACTTATGAACAAGGGTTTTTATGTCAAATCTTGGCAAAATAATTATGGTATTTTGCTTTGCTTTAGCAGCAGCAGCCTGGCCTTATAATGGAGAATTTGTGATTTGTCCTCTGCACAAAGTTCAGTGGTGACAGAGATCCTTGTCTTCAGGGGAGAAACAAAATGCTGTATTTAAAATTATATATAACCATTTTGTCTGCACTCAATCTGGAAAAGTTTGAGGCAAAGTGAAAGATATTTATTATTCTGTGGGCCATTTGCTGGAGTGATGCTAGGAAACATGTCCAGTTTGGCCACTGAACAATGAGAAGCTGCAATTGGATGTATTTGACATAGCAACAGGAGAAACAAGCAGAACACTAGTTAAGTGTGTGGATGCACTTCTAGACGAAGTCATTATTATGGAGCAAAAGAAGACAAAAGCCAGCAAAGCCATCTTTATATTCAGGAGTGTCTGCTTTCACATTTAATTAGTGCTCTATCTAGAAATGTTGCTAGATTGTAATTTTTAATTTAGGATACTTCAGTAGTATCTTTTCTGTTTGATTAGATCAATCAAAATGGGAGTCTGACTGATGAGGGATTACTCTTTTACTAGTGATTGCTCCATTTTTGGAAGCAAAGGCAGAATAGACCCTTCTGTATAACTAATAATGACAAATTTTTTTGTTCACTGTAAAATTGTGACTTGATCTGAACATGCTCCAAACCCAACCTGGAAGGAATTGATAAATGTGCATCTTAAAGAATTGAAGTTTACAGGAAGCTTGGACTCCTTTTTACCTGCCATCCCTACGTAAATCCTCTGTCATAAATCTGCTCATTGTAGCAATTAATGAGACTGAAGTGAAAGTCAGTGAAGGGCTTTTGTCATCTTATGGCATCCATGTTTTCTCTTTTGGAAATACTTCCATCTTGCTTGGTCACACAACAGGAACTTCTACGTTGCCACCCAAAAGTATCTACCCAAACTTCCCATTATTTAAGATAAGAAATTTATTTGGTGTCTTCAAGTTAGCTCCTAGTGAACATTTTATACTATTGAGTTTATCCCAAAATTCTCATGGCAAAAAGGATGAGTAAAGTTTGTTTTACCTTGATCTAAGAAGATGGAAGAGAATATAGTCTTGTAATTCAGGGATGTCCAGTGCTGCCATACGCTAAAAATCATAATGCTAACTTAAGTGTTACAGAATTTTAAAAGAACTAAAGGAAGTTTTTTATTAGAAACATCTTCACAAATTGGGAATAATGAAGCTGAACAGGGAACAGTAGAACACTGTGGAGATCTCTGTCACAGCATGCTAGTGCTCCCGTATTCTCTAGCTGATTTATCTCAGACATCACCACAGAAATCACAGTGTAAGGATTTATTTCCCTTCTGTCTCCTTGCTTGACTTCTATTTCTGTTGCTTTAAGTCAAGGGGACAAGTACAATTGTAATTCTGGTGTACTGCCTCTAAATCTGCATACATACCCATCTAAAATATTTGCAGTTTTAGCCTGCAAATTTCTTCAGAGTCCAGTAATTCTTGAAAAGAATGTTACCAGGTTTGGTAGTGATTTTTAGGGTAAAATTCATATATCTCTTAGGAACACTGACATTTCTGATTCATTTTACACAGAACAGTAAGGTCACCAAGTGTCCAGATTACGCTTAAAATGGTAACGGATATTTAAAGTACCACATTCTTCTCGCTAGGGTGAAATCACATTTCTTTAGGTTCACATGGAGTTTGGGAAGCCTTAATTTTTTATTTGTTCATCCGAAACTGGTCATGTTTACTAATTACTGACAGCTGCTTAACACAATTTCAATGCATGTGCCTAAATCTTGACAAGCACGAATTGAATCTGGCCAACAAAACCCCCATTGGTTTGCAAACCCCACTCACCAGTAGATGGCCTTGGTCACAAAGCTATTGTGGCTGGGAAGTGACTGGCATTAATGAGCATGTGAGAGGCACAAAGAATGGAATGGTAGAGGCATTGATTCTTATATAAGTGCTTTTAAATCAGTTAGATTTGTCTTGTTAAAAAGTCTTGATAGTCTTACTGGCTTTTATCCTGACTCAATGATAGTGTCTCATGTACTCTCTGCAGTGCCTACCCTTTTTGAAGTGGCAATTTAGTAGCTGTCCTAATATGGGATAGATGAGTTGTACATGTGAATTCTCACAGACATTGGTTCCTTTCCCTCATGTCCCAGCCTTATCTGATTAATTCAGAGGCCACATTGAACTTTCTCCAGTTTTTAAGGCATGATCAGGCTTGACCTTACCTTCAGTTCAGGTTGTATTTAGTTAAATATTTTCAGGTCTTAGGGCTGGAAAGGTGCTTAGTAGTAAAAGTCATATTGTTTGTCCCAGTAGTGATCATATTCCTTCAAAATTCCACAAGTCCTGTGCTTCTCTTTCTAGTCGTGTGGTTAAACTTGTTAGCTGCCCCATGTGCTTTGTTGGCTGCAGGTGGGGGAGATTTCTTGTATACTGTGGTCACATCATGGCGTCCAGCTTATATGAGATGAGATACAAGTGTGTGTAGCAGGAAGTGTTTCCAGCTTCGTTTCTCTCATAGATGTATGTGATAGCTGATAACGGAAGTATTGGACCATGTGTGGGCACAGGAAGAGGTGCTGAGTTGTTAAAGCAAGCATTGCCTACACAGCTGTGGTTTTGTTCTTGTAAGGGAAAGGCAGCTTAGCTAAATGGAGCTGCACAGTGAGTGCTGACCACAATAAATTGTAGGGGTTTCCCTCCTTATCTTTTACCTTTTTCTCATTGCTGATGTGCTATTCTTTTGGGTTTTTACCCAAAATAGGATGGATGTTGAGTAAGTCACTATGTACACCTACAGCACTGTTGAAAACACCCCCTTGTCACAACTCTGTCTCTTACTTGTATTTGGTCTGAATTCAGTGATGTATGCTTCTCGTAATAAGAGTTTCTCCTATTGGAGTTGATGAGGAAACTGGAAAATATCATGCATTTTAATGGGAGCAGACCACCACTTTTTTGCTGGCTTTGGAGTTACTCTTTCAGAAATAGAAGCAAGCTAAAATTAGACATGCTTTAATTTCTCTTTTGTGCCATTTCCTCCCTCCTCTGCTGTCACAGAACAAGGCTTTTGATAGTGAGCTTGGTGATGCAGTGTTCAGGGAAAGGAGCAAGATAAGCAAAGCAAATGTAAGCAAGATCAGATCACAGCAGCATCAGGCTGTCAGGACAAGTTGTCCATGTGGACAAATCTGCCGTTTTGGCATGGGAAGTCATCTATCCCCAATTTGCTACTGTCACACCTGGCAGAGGAGATGGCATTTCATCAAGGATGCAGCCCTTTCTCTTAAGGGCATGAGAGATTTGATACGTATGGGGAAACAAGTGATGACTTGAATGTTCCTCTAAATTATCTTTTGCGGTTGACAGTAACCTTTTACATAACAAGCTATATTTCTACTCTGATTTGTGTATGAGGGAACAGTCTGAGTTTCCAAGATTAGAGCTGAAGTCCAACCTTATATTTTACAGAGATTTCGTAGTCTGATTGGGAAGGCATGGGAGAGAGAAGCTGTCCAGGTAAAGCTGCGGTAAATTAGAGCAGCTACAGGCAGTCTCTGCCTTACACTAATTAGCAGCTGGCACATCCCTAGCAATCAGGAATGAAACAGGGGAGGGAGGGAAATGCCTTGATAATCCCTCCCTTCTGAACTTTCTGGAACTGCTTGGCAAGTGCAGCTTTTGTGACGTAAGTACCAGCTGCCAAGCCTGGAAACAAGTTTCAGTGGTGCACAGATTAAGGGGCTAGTGGCCTTGCTAAAGCCCATGGGTCTGTCAGAACAGCTGTTTCTGAGCTTGCTGGGGGTGTTACACTGCTTGAGGACCTTCATGCTTCTTATCTGCAGTACAGCCAAACAAGGTCATTACTTGTGATTGTTATTTTTCGGTAATGTGTATCATTTTATAAACTGAGAACTAATGAATGTAAATAATGTTTTGGGGGACTTTTTAATGTGCTTTTAGAGGGAACAGGGTTGAGAGACTGAAATATAAAGTGAGGAGCAAACTAATGAAAATGAATTTGTGTAGTCCATAATGTGTCATGCAAGGCATTGACCTTTAAACAGGTGAATATTAATCACTGCTGGCTTGATTGGGGTGGAAATTAAGTCATGAAGAGGTCTACCTTGGATTGACAGCTGCCTGATCTCTCTCATTTCTTGTACGTTCAAAGTACATGTATTAAAATCTGTAATGCACTTAGTCAGGCACTTTGTCC